CACACCTTGTAAGTAACTGAATCAATAAATTCAACAAAAATAATCTTTGTCTTGTGGTGTAGACCTGGATAGGAATCAGATTGAGGAGGGCGACATAATGATGATGGTCAGTCAAATTTAAAAAATTTTTTTCTTAGACTAAATCTTAGTGGTTCCCTAATGTTAATTTTAATTGGCAGGAGGACCGGAATGCTGTTAAATCTGTGTGGGCAAATGGCATTGTCCCATACGAAATCAGCCCAAACCTTGGTGAGTTGCAGTAATTTCAGGTAATCTGACTTTAAATAGTCTGCTCTGATTTCAAACATTGCTTTGTGCCAACAGGGCGGCAGGCTGAAATCCAGGAAGCTTTCAGGATGATATCAGGATTCACCTGTATACGCTTTATTCCACACACTGATGAGCTGCACTATATTAGTATTAAAGATGGCAAAGGGTGAGATCTCAAGTAAACAAAATGGCTTATGATAAGAAGCCATTTTTCATTGCCTAAAATGGCCAGATGGGGAAAATTGTTTAACCCAATTCTGACAGCATCAGTTATAAACTGTTTAAAATGTCCATGGCTCATTCTGAAGACTCTTTCTTTTCTTAACTCCAGCTGTGCATCCTTCATTGGAATGACTGGTGGAAGTCAACCAGTCTACTTCGCCCAATCCTGCACCACTGGCAACCTGGCCCATGAGCTTATCCACGCTTTAGGGTTATACCATGAGCACACTCGTAATGACAGAGACGAGTACATTTCCATCAACTGGTCAAGCGTCATTCCAAGTAAATGCCTATCAAATGACTTTTTTGGGGTTTACTCTAGAAGCTCTTATCCAGACCTGACCAATCAGGCTGAACCAATACACTTGGAGCCCTGAAGTACAACAATTGGGGCTTTTTATGCTTAAAGGTTTTTAGTTTTGTATCTTGAATGGATTTAGCTCAGCTTTTGCTATTCACTTGCTTTAATTCCAGTGTAGTCTCCAAAGAAATGTTTTTTATAAAAGGTGGGGGGATTGTTAGGAATAGCCTAATTGGTGTTATATTGTTTCTTTAGATCTTCACAAAAATTAATGAGATTGGGGAAAAGGATTTTGTTTGCAATGTGCTTGAAGACCCTTAATTTCCAACTTTAAACAGGCTCTTGCATCTTTAAAAGATGGTTCTAGAATGTGCAGGCTGTGTTTTGACATCCGCTCCAAAACCTTTAATTGATTCTTATGAACTGTCCAAAGGCATTATGGTTGGGCCTAGTACCATCTTAAAAGGTAAATGTTTGATCTCCCTTTGCCAGATGATTAATGTGGTGACCATTAAAGATATAACAGATGGTACCATCTCTTGAGGATAAAATTCTGAATTCAAATACTGTTTTTATTTTCAAGGCAAGAAGAGAAACTTCAAAGTAAAAAATGGAGACACTCTAAACCAGCCTTATGACTATGATTCCATCATGCACTATGGACCGTAAGTAACTCCTCTTGCCTAATTGGTATGAAATGTTTAAACTCTAGTGTTTTTATTTGTTTCTCCACTGATTTTAACTTTCTGTACAGGTCGTTTTTCAGCGCGGATGGGAATCCAACTATTGTAACCCATAAAAAAGCCCAGAAAATTGGACAGAGGATCCGACTGAGCCCCCTGGACATAAAGAAACTAAATATCCTCTATAAATGTTAAACCCTTCATGCACCTGCAAACTTGCTGTTTTAAACATTGAAGCTGCAAATCCCTTCAGATGTGGAAAAGGGGTTTTGGTGCTTGTAAAATAAAGATTTTTGATGGTACTAAATGAGTTGTCTTTTTGATCGGTGACTGCAGATTCAAAAGTGTTATGCATTCACTGGAGTGTTGTTGTAGAAGGTTAACATTGGAGTGTTAAGTTTGATCAAATAAACTGCCCTTTTTTTTTTACTTGTATTTTAGAGGGAGTGACTATTTTTATTAGCCAAATCTTAGGTTCAGAAATGATATTGTAAAGTGGAATAAGTTGAACATATAGTTACTGGAAAGTGGCAGCATCCTTATAAGACATTCGCAAGTTGAGCTGGCATCATTAATATGGTTAATCCTGAATCAGGTGTATTATGCATCTACTTTTAAGGGGTTAATTTTTTCCTAACATTAAGTTGTGACTGCAGGCTAGATGTAAAATTTTCAGAGGTGTCAAGTAATGAAGTAAAAATTCTACTTTTCTGTACTTAAGTACACCTTTTACACTGCAAAAATTATCTAGAAATAAGTAAAAATGTCTTAAATTAAGTGTATTTGCCCTTAATTTAAGTGGATAAATACGATGATTTGCCAATGAAATTTGTGTCTTTACTCTTAAAATAAGATGGTTAGATAATATGAACTTGAAATAAGACAATGCAATAGTTTTATAATGTAAATTATCTTGTTCCATTGGCAAAGTGTCTCGCTTTCGTACTGAATTGGAGAAAAAATGCACTTAAGTAAAAAATTGCTTAATTAGATTTCCATTTTTTGCAGTGTACACTGCAAAAAAAAATCTAGAAATGAGTAAAAGATGTCTTAAATTAAGTGTATTTACCCTTAATTTGAGCAGCAAAATATGATCTGCCAATGGAATGAGTATTTTTACTCCTAAAATTAGATAATATACACTTGAAATAAGAAAAAGCAATAGTTTTTTCTTTTAAATGGAAATTGTCTTGTTCCATTGGCAAAGTCTTACTTACCACCTCAATTCAAGAAAAAATGCACTTAATTTGAGCAAAAATTACTTATTTAGATTTCCACTTTTTGCAGTGTAGGTATCTATACTTTTTCTCCTGACTTCTACTCATTACATTTTCACACATATCTGTACTTTCTATTCCTTACATTTTTAAAACAAACGTTACTCGTTACTCTTGGCTTCGGTTTTATGTTTATAAATATTTCACGTCATGTGCTCCATCCAATGCAGATCTTTGGCTCCGTCCACATCTAGTGAAAACTAGTGTAATTGGATGAGTCATAACTTAAACACTTATTTGTTAAAGGAAATCATCAGAAGCAAGCAGGTGTTCAAACTGTAAACACATTATCTATGCCGTGCTACAATGTCAGATTCAGAAAAATACGTTTAACTGTCTGAAAGGTCGGACACAGGCAAGAGTGTATCGGGAAATGGAGACCAACAGGACCTCCCTCATCCTTGGCCCTATCTCAAAGAATTTTTTGAAATGGTTCTAAAATGGAGCTTTCAATTCATATAGTGGCATCTGGCTGTTTACTTTTATACTTTAAGTAGTTTTTGGAGGACATGCTTTTTCTATTTTACTTGAGTAAAGAGGTCAAGTTGATACTTCAACTTTTACCAGTGTTTTTAAACTGCAGTATCTATACTTGAGTAACAAATGTGTACTTTTGACACCATTGAAGTTTGGACTGCTGTACTTGATATAGAAATTACAAGCTCAAATGGATAAGGGGGCAAAACTGATACTACAGCCTTCTAAAAGAAATAATAAATGAAGTGACTTCCTGAATGTCTCAATGATAAAGCTCAAAACATGACTGCATGCTGTAACTTTGAACGTTGGTGGGGATACGCTAAGGGTGGCGGCTGATGGATCTACAGCTATGTGAACCAAGGACTTTCATTAGGTTTTAGAATGTTTCAAAAATGATTCCAAACATATTTATTGAATGCTTTCCTGTTGGGAACAAAAGTACCAAAATACATTATATAGATATGCAGATACCTTTTAGTGCATTATCTTTGGGTTGGTTGGTGCAGCTATTTCTGTGTCTTGCTGAATTACAGAAGATTTGTTAAAATATAAAATTGCAATTTTTTCCTTGTAAACTTGAGAAATTTTATTGCATGTTGCATATTCCAGTAAATCTGTTTGATCTTTAAATCTGCAGCTAACTTGTCTTTGTGCTCTGCTTAAAGCAGATTTATGAACCTGTTTACTAATCTGATATAACGCAGCTCTGCAGTCTGATTTTGTTTGCTAAATAGGAAAACAATGTGTTTCAACCTGTAACTGTGAGTCATGGTCCTCTAAGAACCCAAGCTTTTTTTTTTATCTACGTAGTACACAAGGACGCAACACTTTTGTCAAGTAAATCAGCGGAAAGGGGGAGAAAAAAAAGTGGAAATTATTGGTGGGGACTTACTGGCCACGGTGTTTGGGGAAAAGTGCACACCAGTCCTTTAGAAAGTTATTCCCATGGGTGGTTCTAGACAGGGGCCAACAGGGGCCAGTGCCCCTCTAGAACCGGTCCTGGCCCATGTACTGAAAACATACAGATATTGTTTTTGCTTTTGGCAAATAGTGCACTATTAGACAAATTTCTTGAAGCGTATTTTCCTTTGATTTAAGGAGTAAAGACTAATTGCAGATGGACTGAGATGATTTATGTGTAAAATAAATACTTGTTTCTTTGGAAAAAGAATGCACTTTTTAAGGCATTCATTTTGTCAGGAAATACATTATCAACCTTTAACATGTATTTTAGTACGGTTACAATTTTGGGGTGGGAAATTCTCCTTCTGAATGCAGACAAAACAGACGTTATAATCTTTGGACCAGAGTCTTTGACAAATAAGCTGATTAGTCAATCACTTCATTTGGATGGGATTAAACTGATCTCAGATAATAAAGTAAAAAAAATCTTGGTGTTTTTGATCAGGACCTGTCATTTAAATCCCATATCAAAGAGGTTTCTAGAATTTCCTTCTTTTATCTCTGGAATATGGCAAAAATTAGAAATATCCTTTCCAGGGGTGATGCTGAGAAACTAGTCCATGCATTTGTTACTTCAAGGCTGGACTATTGTAATTCTTTACTATCAGGAAGTCCACAAACTGTAGTTAAAAGCCTTCAGCTGATCCAAAATGCTGCAGCCAGAGTTCTGATGAAAATGAAAAAGAGAGATCATATCTCTCCTATCCTGGCTTCTCTTCATTGGCTTCCTGTTAAATCAAGAATAGAATTTAAAATCCTCCTTCTCACATATAAAGCCTTAAATTGCCAAGCTCCATCTGATATCAGAGATCTGATTGTTCCTTATGTTCCTAACAGAGCACTTCGCTCTCAATCTGCAGGTGTACTAGTGGTTCCTAGAATTTCTAAAAGTAGAATGGGAGGCAGATCTTTTAGTTATCAGGCTCCTCTCCTGTGGAACCAACTACCAGTTTTAGTCCGTGAGGCAGACACCCTGTCTACTTTTAAGGCTAGACTTAAAACTTTCCTTTTAGATAAAGCTTATAGTTAGGGTGGCTCAGGTTATCCTGAGCTATCTCTATAGTTATGCTGCTATAGGCTTAGACTGCTGGAGGACATAGGGACCCCCATTTCATCATTCTATCTCTATTCTCCCACTTTGCAGAATCTGTTAGTTCAATCTCTAACGTTCTGCTCTCTCTGCTTTTTCTCATAGTAGCTTTGCCTCGTCTGTTCCTGTTTGGCTGTGACGCCATCCTGGAGAGAAACATCAGCTGTCCTGTTGCCGTCAAGACCCTTGTTTATAGATGATGGAGATTGGCCTGTTTTTCCAGTGTAGTCCTGTTTCTCTGACTGTGACTAACTGGATGTGCTCTCTTCGTCCTCTGACATGGGAGCTGGCTCAGAGCTCGTCTGCCTGGCTGTGTGTTTCCTGGACGGGGCCGCCTTTTACAGCTGCTTTTTGTATCTCTGCTTCTGTCCCCTTGAACCCCAGTCGGCCTCAGCAGATGGTCGCTCACACTGAGCCTGGTTCTGCTGGAGGTTTCTTCCCGTTAAAAGGGAGTTTTTCCTCTCCACTGTCGCTACAAGCATGCTTAGTGTGAGGGATTGCATTCGAGTCAATGAGTCGATGCAATCAACTGGTTTTCCTTAGAAAACGTTGAATCAATTTGACTGAATGATCTGGTGAACTGTAAAGTGTCTTGAGATGACGTGTTGTGAATTGGCGCTATAGAAAAATAAACTGAATTGAATTAAAAACCGTAATTTAGATCATTTTTTCAAAATAAAATAGATGATGACCCAAAAAACAAAGAAGAGAAAGGAAGAACAGTAGTATTTGTAACAGAATTTAATCAATTCAATGGATGTTCAAAGAAATAATTTGTAATAACTTACTGTTTCATTTGAAATCTTGATTCATTGAAGGACTCAGAGGGCCATGTTCAGGGAGCCAAAGGTCTGACTGGAAAACTTTCTCCTCCGTTCAAAGTTGGGGTCTTCACACAGACATTCCCATTTAACGCAGCAACCGTGGAGGTTTCTCAGGACAAACTGGATGTCCCAGACGTTTTACAGTAGCTTCATAACCTGACGGGTCAGGAGGCTTCATGTTGTTGTAATGAGATAAAAACTGCTTGGAGTCATTGCTGTGAGGGCCAGAAGATAACTGCTACTTCTACAGACACACAGAGACTCAAAACATAAATAAAAGCAGACTAATGTCCCTGTCATTATTTTAAAAGAATCCTTTATTCCTGTAAATACTGAGCGATGGTTTTCATGGAAAAATAGCAAACCTGACATATAAAAAAATACAAAAATTAGAAGAATAACTTTATCTTTACCTTCAAATCCATTTTATTTGTGGTGTTTTTATTTTAAATCTCCAGAAACGTCATTAAATAGCTAAATGTGAAAGTGGATGACGAACATTATAATGAGGTGTGTCAGATCTTTGGTTTTTCTCCATCAATTATTAGCAGGGTGCGTAAA